TATATATAAAATTGATTTGAAAACTTTGCATATATGGTGTGAAAGTAGGGTCCTAAAACTGTTGCAAAAATTTTTAATTAGCTTCAGATAGAAAAGTTATCATTGATTAAACAACAGCAGATTTCCCATTAAATGAAATTTGTAAACAGTTTTTGTTACTTTTTTAATTACTCAAATTAAATATTTGATTTGCAATTTGAAGTTACTAAATTTTGAATTCAATTTTGACCCAACTTTGGAAAAAAAAATTTTCCATCACTGCCTTAATGTAACAAGTATTAAAGTAAAATCACTCTTACAAAATATCTTTGCATTATAAAATTTGTTATTGAAGAAATAGCAAAAGGAAACATGTCTCAGGAGGGGCATTTGCCCTCCTTGTGGATGCTCTTGGCATAGATATTTGTATTTATTGGTTTTTAATGAGGATTATCATTGAGTAGAGTGCTTGTGAATGACATACAATAAAGAATAAACAAAACTGCACTACACTTTATCAAAACAATTATAAACAATTGTATAAATTTTGTTACTTTATTGAATACCCAAGCCAGATTTATATTGAGGAATATTGTTACTGTCATGTACAATATATTTTTAAAAGTGTATCTGTCCACTTTTCTGCTATAGAAATTTAGGGAAAGCTAAGTAGACAGCTCAAAGAGTTCTATAAAGGTTTTGTTTTAAAAGTGATATAATGATGAGATTTAAAGTTGCTAAAGGAATGACTTAACAGTCAAAATTTTGCATAATAAATGATTATATCAGAGTTGATAAACAGCATCTCCCTCAAAACCACTGCTATCTGTTACAAGGAAGATATGTTTCTACCATATATCCCCTTGTATCATTTGATATATCCTTTTGTTTTAAGAGATTAGTTTCCAATTCAAATGTTTATTAACAAGTCTTAAGGACAAACATTAACAGTTGCTGGTCTACAATTAGAGAAGTCCTAATTTTCCTGTGGACAATTATAGTTAGGATATTCAAGAGTTGAAACTCTTGAATATATATAGTCTTTTTGTTTGCCCTTACTGGAAAGATATGTGCTATTTTATATGCTGAAGTGTTTGGTAGCAATGTCAGTCATTTTTATTTATGTACTTGTATCTTTCTAAGTTTCTCTAATTATGTATTGGTAAAGAATACAGAAATATTTAGCCAATTGTTAAGTATGGTATCTTAACTGATGAAACCATATTAAAAGGTTTGTAACTCATCAACGTGGGTAAATCCAATTATTTCTTAATATTTTATAATTATAAACATTTTAATATCATTTTTAACCTAATTATTATTGCAATTGCAATGTTATACAGGGTGGACCAAAAAGAATATACGTATTTCAAACTGATATATTTAATAAACTGTAAGACATACAACTATGGAACTTGGGACACATATTTATGAAACTCTCTAGTTTAGATTACAGGTGTTCAATATGTCCTCCACCAGCGACACGAACGGTCCAGGAACTGGGGTCCGGGCGGGAGTTCGGTCCAGGCTTCATAACTAACCTGCGTCTCAAAACATGCCAAACTGTTGTTTTAGGCAGCTGAAATTCCCGACTGGCACGACGTGTTGATTTTGAAGGGCTGCGTTGGTAAGCAGCTTGAATCCGTGCGCCATTTTCTTCAGATACATGAGGTCGGCCAGGACTCTTTCCTTTACATACACAACCTGTGTCAACAAACTGACGGTACCATCTGCGAATGTTCCATCCATTCGGAGGATCAATTTCGTACCTCAACCGGAAACGTCTTTGCACTGTAATCACGGAATTACACTTCGCAAGCTCAAGAATACAAAAGCTTTTGTGCTGTGGCGTAGCCATTTTACAACAACTNAATTTGTGTTGTTTGCAAGCTGGTGTATTATATTTGCTACTTGATTATATCTATGTAAATAATCTGTCTGTGCCAAGAGCTTGCAACCAGAAGTGATATGTTATATATTTTCTGGTATGATGTGACATTTTCTGCATGTGTCATTTGTGAGTGTTGTAATTCAAACATGGCGCGCCATGTTTGAATTAAATCCCAATGATTAAAACGCGCATTGAAGATATTTTAAATTACGGAGGATATTTATGTCATGATCTGCGTGAAATCAATTATTTATTTATTCAGATATGTTTTAAATTTTACATATTTTTAATTTTAACGCATCATATTCAAATTACATTGTTAAATGGAACTTTCAAAAACATTCTATTCTACTAGCCATTAGTTCAATATCATTAATACCTGATGATGTCTATTACATATAGACGAAAACGTTCGTAAAAAGAATTTTTCTACTGGATTATGAACTTTATATGGTTTATTTGGTGAGTCGAATATAATTAAAATTAAATAACCAGTTTTTGAAATACAGTGTGTTGTGTATCTTTGAATATGTGTTTTCTGTAGTTTTTAGTAATATGACCCAATCCTGTATGGCAATTATGAACCGTTCCATCTCCCCAAAGAGGCATCCCCAAGCTAACCAGCTGTTTGATACAGTTTTGTCAACAAAACCCTGGTCCAGGTAATAGGGATGCCTGCCATGGAATGCCTTTTGAGTCCACAATTGCTTAATGTTGTCTATGCTTTTTTATATGTTGTGAGTGTAAGTTTAATGGTGTTATTTGAGTCTGCTAGAGTTACTGCTTTATGTAACTGATGCTTCTTGTTTTTTTTTTTTGGAAAACTCTCACAGTATTTTTTTTGTTTGTTTCTAGTGAAGATTTACTATGTCAGTTGGGCCACATCTGCCATCTTTACATGAAAGGATTAACCTTTCTATAGCAGATTTAGGATGATTTGTAAATTCGGGGATCAATTAAAATTGTTTAAAAAGATATATTTATATGTATAATTTTAAAAAACTTTTAAAAGAAAAGTCACTTTAAAATAATGAATATAATAAAAATTACTCTGATCTTTTCAATGATCCTTTTTTTTGTTGAGATATGCTTACACCATATGAATTTCAAACTGTATCAATTAACAGTTTTTCTTTAGTGGTAGAAATACACAATAATAACATGAACTCTTTAATATACAAAAGTACCAAGGTACTAGGATGATGATGTTTATGCTTAGTAAGTATTCTTGTTTTTCTTTGGAGTTGCTCAAGATCTGTGTGAGTCCAATGTAATAAGTGACCAAAAGAATAAATGAGTACTGGAATGATATATGTGTTTATTGCTTTAACTATGTGTTTTGCATTTAACTGTGTTCTGAGAATAGCATTTAACCTACTTTGATATTCTTTAATTTGTTTATTTGTCTATGTTCTGTTAGTATAAAGAACACTTCACACCTGGTGCTGAACAAATTCATATCCAAACCAGTGTTGGAAAAAATACACTTCACAAATGTTTTTGGGCTCCTCTGGAGTCCTGCTTCAGGTGACTGTTCCCCTTTCTTAGACAGAACACCAATTTAAAATAAAATAAAAATTCAAATGTTTCAAAACAAATAAAATGCTTTTCTGTAGTCTATATATGCAATGTGTAAGTTTGTGTTGTTTGTATGCTTGTCATAAAATGACTGAATCTATAATCATCCCCTGTGATTTCTTTGGCAATCTTTTTGTTCTGTAAGAATGTTGTGTTTTTCAACTTGTTCATATATTTTATTTTCAATACAGGATGTCAATAATTTGTAGTGTTGGAAGACATGTAATTGGTCTGTATTTTGTAGGGTCTGTGGTATTCTTTTTAGGTTTCATGTAGGTGACGCATTGAGTAAGAAATTTATGAGCATAAAATGATTTTGTGCTCATGATTAGTTTTATGATTGTTGATACTTTTGGGATTGTTTTGGCATAATTTTCTCTTTCTGGAAGTTGGAAGTTTTGTGCTTTATAGTGTTCTCTGGGAGGACAAGCTGCAGACAGTAAGATTGCTTTTGAATTTTGTCTTCCTGGTCAGGAGCATGAAATATCCTAAACTAAACAAAAATAAGTCAGGTTTTCTCTTACAACTCCCATTAATTATACAGTAAATATTAATGAAATAAACTTATTGATAAAAATTTATTTATTAATCTGTCTATGAATAATTCATTTTGATTCAATCTTTGAAAATTTGCTTAGAGCTTTTTTGAATAACATATTTTAATTTTTTATCAATTTTGAGATTTATTTATATAAAATTGCAATGTCAGAAATATGTCTAAATAACAGAGCAATAAATAAAACTTTTGTTAATTAAACTTTCTTATACTAAATGTTGTCAACTTAAAATAAAAGTAGCCTGATAAAAACATGATTTTTAACAATATTAGTGTTAAAATTAAACATTAAAATGAGTAAATTAAGCTGAAGCAGATTTATAAACAGGTGTTTTTGATAAAATTAATTTTGTCAAAAAGTATCAATAAAACAATGAAATAACACATTTTGAAAAAAAAAATAACTTTAAAAAATAGCTTATATTAGATGACTTACAAAATATTAGAATGAAATTAAAACAGAAAACTATGCTATGAAAATTAAATATAACTTTGTTTAAATAATATAAACAATAAATTGTTTCTTTTGAATTTTATGGTTTGGGATTAGTTTTTGGTTAAAAAATATAGTTATTGTTAAAACAGCTTTCCCTTTCTCATAGAAAATAGGTTAACAAAACATTAACTATTTTTGCTATCTTCCATACTTTTCAACTTTAAAATTTAACTTAAATGATGATTTAGTTGATTTAATTAAAAATATTGTTTATTTGTGTTCAGAATTAGTTTGTATATGTATTGAACTTTGAATTCATTCAACGTATTTCAAAGAGAAATATTTATGTAATCTGATCTTTTTATATTTTCTGTACTATAAAATGAAATTTTATCTTTCCTGAATAAAAGAACTTTTTGTTACTCTCTTGTATTTTATTTATATCTTTAAATAATTGAATATCTAAGCTATCCAATGTCTCTTTAAATGATGATAATTCTTTCATTATAAAATGACATAGTTAAAAGTATAACAATATTGTTAAATAATTTTTTTCATAGGACAGGATGGAATGCCAGAAAGTTTATCCAGAGTACAAAAATTGGCCAAAAAATCACTAACCTTTTATAAAGCAGATCTACAAGACAAACTAACCATTAGAGAAATTTTTTCTAAAGTAAGTATTAAATATTTAATTAAGGAACTTGTTTTATTTCATTGATGATAATATATATTAATATATAAATTACCATTTTACTATCAATAAATTTCTATTAAATACATTAACATAATGTATTGCAGTAAAAATTTACATATATTGTAGAACACTTATAAAATGGCTTCATTTCACATTTTCTATCAAAAGAATATGAAAAGATTATGTAGAATATGCAAACTATCAGACATGTTGGTTAGCAAGAATCTATATTATTTAAACTTGTAGTAAAATATTTTAGTTCTTAAAATCATATATTCAAATAAAAACAAAATAAAATCTTTACATTATAAATAGCATGCATTTATTAATATGCAATAATTGTAATTAGTAAAATTATTTTTTAATATTTTTAAAACAGTAGAAGCTGATTAAATGATGAATTCAAAAATACTTCTTATAGCTAGATAATAATAATGATTACTTGTAAATGATATGACTCAAGAAAAAAACAAATTCAGATTATATCTTTATTATAAGTTTTTACTGAAGATACTTCGATTATAGTTTATATTCATTTTTAAGAAATTAAATAATAAGTTATAATTAGCATAATCTTGCTGCAAATGAATTTACAACAGGATTATAAATTTATCATTATTTAAGTGTTTTAAAAAAATTACTAACAAATGACTATTTTGTCAATTAAAAAATTGTTCCCTGTTAACAAACTAATTTTGAGGATAGGAAAAAGTCTATTGCCATTTTCATTTTTTAATGCTTTATAATGTAATTTATTCTCGATCATATATTTAATCAAGAAACTGCAAGAAGACACTTGTAAAAAATACTGCATATTACAGGTTAAAAAATCTGAAAAAATTATGTAATAATGACTGCTTTTGTTTGCACTTAACATCTCACTTTTATCTAAATTCTTTATATATTATAGGTATAGAACTATAAATGGTTAACTCTAAATTTTGCAGTTTTTCAGTAAGAGTATTCTTATTATATTCAACACCTTCTATTTATGACCACAAGTAAATGTATAAAATTCCAAATGGTTACATAACCTAACTTATTTTTGGTGGGCGATTGTACACCAAAACTTTGCAAAACTTTAGCCCAATTTTTAAATATCATTTTTTCTGAAAATTATGGTTTAGAAAATTATGACAGTAGCTGCTTAAATTAAGGGTTCTATTCCCATGATATAGAAATAGAACTTTTTAGGCAGTATAAACATTTTAGATTTTTATGTGCCAGTTTATATATTAATTTGGTATGTTTATAATAAACAGAAGAAATAACTTTTCAATTAAAAGCAATACAAATTTTTTCTTGTAATTTACATTTCTCATTTAAATATTTTAAAATCTTATTTTAGAATTGAAATTCTGAAAATGTAGGTAAAACTTTTTATGAGTGGTTTTAATTCAAAAAATAAGGGAATCAACTGGTGGCCAGTTTCATCTGTTTTTGAATATGCGGTTAACATGCTAGCACCACTTTCAAATGACTCATTAAAATAATTAATCTTTCATTAGAAACCTATTTTTCCAACATTCTGTAATTGAATTAATTAATGAGCCATTTATTAATAGCTTCTCTCTTATGTTAGTATATGTAATTGATTCTCTAATAATTTGTCATGGCTTTTTGACATCAAACATCTTTTGTAGTTTGTGGCTGATCCAAAATAAAAATGAATAAGAACATTTTAATTATATAAATGTAGAGAATGCTTTTGTCAATTTAATCCACAAGTATAAAAGTTTAATTGAAAATTATACAAACTGCTAATGTTACAATTGAATGAAAAGAAAAATATGGAGAACCGTTGCACTTGATTTTAATACAAATGCATGTGTTACTAAAAGATTAGAAAAGTAGCTGCCATCCAAGGTTTAAAATTGTTCTATCTAATAATAATTAGTTTTTTTTGCAGTTCTATATTTTCTACATTTTTGAAATGAAATATGTATTAAACTCATCATAGTCTATTATCTTTGACTTCAACTTATCAAGTTATTAAAAAACTTTAATGCTCCAAAATTGGATCCTTAAAGTATTGATCATTTTAATACATTAGCATTAATAATGTTTGATAAAACAGTTGAAAATGTGTTGGTTAAGTTTTAATGAAGATTGAAACTAATGACAGACTAGTTTATTTGGAGCAAATATATAGAAGACACTATAAATTTAAACAATATATATGCTTTAATGAATTATAAATTATATTAAGTGTAAGATTTAATGTGATTTATATTATTCTCTATTAAAACATATATTGTTCTATAGTTATTTGAAATAAACTATGTACAATATATATATAAACATTGAAAATAAATGAGTGAAATTGTACATAAACATGTAACTTAATTCTGTAACTGTAACTGGATGTATTTTAATTGTACCAAATGTAATAGTTAGATAAAAGACAGCTTGCTTACAGTTTATATAATTCTTTTAATTTAATATTTTTGAAGTTATTCAGTTTTGATTAATTATGAGTCAGTTATTAAAATTTATAATTTTATTATAGTTAACACAGATTTTGTAATTGTCTCATTTTCAAAAAATAATAATGTATTGTTGTTGAAATTAATATTTTTTAAGAATTGTTTTATTAATAATGTATTTGCAATAAATTTATTAATTTATCTAATACTTTTAGCATAAAGTAGATTGTGTAATTCATTTTGCTGCCTTAAAAGCCGTTGGAGAATCATGTCGTATTCCACTCGACTATTATAGAAACAATGTAGGAGGTTCTGTCACACTTTTGGAGGTAATTGTTTGTGCATTGACTTTGAATTTGAAATGATAAATTTTTTTAGTTTATATTATGTCATTGTTTAAAAACATTATTAAATAAACACATTATATGTCAGAATATTTTTTATTAGAAACAGACATACAGTGGAAAAAACTTCAATTTCTGAAACAAATAATGCTCACTTAACAAGCATAATTCATTTCAGAATCTTACTCGTAATGCAAAACACTTGTTAAGCAAAACAGTTTTTCCTATAGAAATTAATGTAAAATATAATAATGCATTCCATGCCAAAAAAATACTCAAATATTTTATGTATAACATTTATTCAAAGAAAATTACACAATATACATTGTTAAGAAGTGTGAATCATCATCAACTTTTCTTCTAGCACAGAATGAACCAATCTGGAATGCAAATTTGATTTGCAGAAAACAAAAAAATCACAGATATGTCTGATAAACACTCCAAATGATATGCCAAATTCTTAGGCTATGTAAAGACTATAATTAAATATTAGATGTTAATTAATTTGACTAGAGATAGGCAGTTACGCTGCCATCTTGTATTAAATTTAATAATTATAAATAATTCATTTTTAATTTAGACATTTTTAAAATTTAATTTGGAATTGGTCATTAAATTTAGTACGAGATGGCGTGTTTATTTGTATAATAGGCTGTGATTGTTGATGATTATATGTAATATGTCTGAACACAAGTTTGAAAAAATATGTGATCACGAGTGACACTAAGATGCTAGCGGAATGAGTGCTAAACACAGACTAGTGGAGCATGTACACAATCCGGGATTTCTCCTCTCCTTGTCACTCATTAAGCAAGTCAAATTTTTTACAATTGTTTTGCTCATTATGCAAGATGCTCGTTAAGCAAGGTTTCACTGTATTTTTTTACATCTTTTTCATAAATTTAAGTGTAAAGAAATAAATAAGACCATTACAAAACATAAGATAAATGTTTTCTTAACCAAAACTCATTTTCAGATCATTCATCAAAAGTTTTTAACAGTTTTTAAAAAGTTGAATAAATTTAGCATTTTAATGTTTTGAAACAAAGAATTACCAAAAATTGAATATCAAACTCAGCTTCTTTTAAAACATTTAATAAAACATTTAACACCTTATAATGCTGAGAAATATTTATTAAAACACAAACATTTTCAGCCTAATGGAATAGGCCATCATCAGGTGACAGGCTATCGAACAACTTTTAAAAATTGCGTTCTACAAAGAATTACTTGAACATTTTAATATTTAACTAATTTTTTTTTTTAAATACTTTTTGGTCATTGTCCAAAATGTAAGAATATTGAATTCATTTAATTTTTAAAAATCAATTTATTCTCTTTGATAAGTGACTTGAAGATGAGATTTTGGAGTCATCATATAGTTTTCAATGGGTTTTTTTATTGTAATATGTATTTTTAGTTTTAAATTTTCTGTTTAATTTGTATCAACAGATGATAAATATCACACAGTAGTTAAAAACATTTTATATGAAGAAAATTACATCAGATATTAGATAGAAAATCTGTTAGACAGAATTAAAATTTATCTAATTCTCTCTAATTTATTAGTAATTAAAAATATTTATTTAAAATCTAGTGTGTTTCCATGACAAATAGGAACAAATATATAACATCTCACTGTATAATGTAAATAATCACCATATACCTTTCTTACTTTTTTACTAATCAATTTAATTTAAAAAAAAAAATTGAAAAAACAAGCATTTTTGGTCTTTTTTAGGAATCTACTTCAGATTATTAAACCATTTGAATATCAATAAAGCTTTTGCATTTTTTTTTTTTGGTTTGTTTTTTTTAATGTTAAATTGACTACTGGAAAAGTAAGAAAGGTGTGTGCTGATTAGTTGTATGCTGTTCCAGCTTTTATGTGATATATTTAAATAACATAAAAAATTCCACATTTTACTTATTAATCACAAAAATATTAATTTATATTACTAAGAAAAAAATCAAATATATAGATCTGTCTAATTCTTATTTATAGCAGATCTGGAGAACTTATTTTCAGACTGTTCTTGTAATAAGGTTGTATATGATTTGTGAATTATCTTCTTAAAGTATAAAATGCTATTTGTAGTGTGTATTTATAAGAATCAGTATCACATTAATTTAAGATTTTATGAATAGTTTTTACTTTATTATATATGTTTGTACGTATTTATTTTACTTTTAATTAAATAATGTTAATCTTTCAGGTTATGAGAGAATTTGGTGTGAAAAGAATTATATTTTCAAGTTCTGCCACAGTATATGGTATTCCAAAGTATCTGCCAATTGATGAAAATCATCCCGTTGGATTAACATGCACAAATCCATATGGAAGAACTAAATATTTTATTGAAGAAATAATGAAAGATGTTACAAAATCTGAAAAAGTAAATTTATCACTTCTTAAAGTATATTAGTTATTATTTAAAATTTTAATTATTTCTTACCACTAAAAGTCAGTAAGTTTATAAATAAATGCGCTATTTTATGATAAATATATTTCACAAGTTTTATTGAATAATGAATGTAATGTTTAATTTATTAGCTCCATATCTTTGGAAGACCCTGCATATCAAAAAATATGCTTCAAAAACCCTATTTCTTTTTATTTGATTCAAACTTTTCAGAATTTTATTTTTAAAATTGAATTTTTTTTTCACTTCAGTTTTAAACAAACCAAAAATTTGAGAATGAAAAATATGAATAGTAGCATATTTTCCTAACTGTGCTAACTCTAGAAATTTATGAGAATTTAGACACATTTTTATTTTAAGATTTAATTTAAAGTTTTTAATAATATGTTATTATTTAATAGGATCTTTGTTATAGTAAAAATTTATTTTATCTAAACCAAATATGAATAGTAGTTAATAAATGAATAAAATCCATTTTTTAAACTGGAAAAATAGTATTTTGAAAATAATGTCTACATTATTAAATTGAAAGCAAGATTTGGATAAAATGTTAAGAAAAAAGACCTAGAAAGAACAACACAACCAAAAATTTCTTCTCGTAACACCTTAAGACGCCCACAATTATCCCAAATATGCCAGACACCACAGTCTCCTCTTCCATGCAAAATTTACACAATTTTCTAGAGTAATTATTTAAAGAATATAGCAAATTACACCTTGCCTATGAAAAAGAAAATATTAGTCTTGATGACAATACTGGCAGATGCTCCCCTATTCAGATTTATTTAAAATTAATTTTTTGTTTTCATAAAATTTTTTTTATTCCAATATTTAGTTTAAATAATTTAANCAAATTTTTATCAGTCCTACGATTTTACTATACTAAATGTTAAAAAAAAAAACCCACTTGTAATGACATAAAACCGTTTTAATGTCATATTTGAAACACTCCCAAATTTACAAAATTAGATTACAAATTTTATTTAAAATAGAAGAAACTGTGTGTTCAGTCCTAAGGTCATAGTTCACTTCTTAGGGTGCGACTATGCAGACACGAATTTAGAGTGAGCGAGAGGTTGCGAGTGATTTAGTTTTTGCAAAGGGAAACCAAGCATAAACAAGAAGCAAGAAATAACGCTAGCGAGAGCGAATTTCTGGTTCTCGCACATATCTGACAGGTTTTGATATTTATCGCGTCTCGCTTCTTCTTGCCACATATTCTTGTTTGCTCAAAAAATTCGCTCGCTCGTGTCTGCATAGTTGCACACTTACTAAGAATGACTGTGGGGTGGTACTCTCCCCTACCCGACTTCGGTGGGGTGAGGTGGCTGTTTTGCCTGTTTGTAGAAGAGTGTTGCCATTTTGTATTTTATTTTGAGTTGATTCTCGGTCCCCTGACTACCTACGAGTCTGGATTTTTTTTATGCGCAATGATTTGGGCACCTAATACTCTCTGCCAAATATCAACTCTTGACATGTACTCCTTCATACCTCTATGCTAGTAAGAAAGTCGGGCAGTATGATTTTATAAACAAGACATAGTCTTGTCAATAACACGTAATGTAAATCAAATTCAAATGGTAGAATGACTAAAACTTAGAGCCCGAAATGCTGTGATCTTATATGAAAAAGGATCGGAAGAGATTGCTGGGATGAACAGTGGTAAGTAGCCCAGTTTGTAATAAATACTCATTTCCACCTGGCCTCTGTCGAGATGCATGCTAACATCTAAGAAATGAGCACTAGTGCTACTTACCTGATCCAGTTTAAGGGTAAGACCGTATGGGCTATAACCAGACAGGCCAACACTCATCACACCAATAGGGACAATGCTTTGCTAGAACTGCAACATATCAAAGATATAGCTGTAGAATATGGCTATAGAAGAGACCTTGTACGTGGGCTATCACGCGCCTACTCCAACCATCTAGTTGCACACTGTTCCCAACATCCAGACCACTTCTAATGGAAACTAGCAATGCAATCCTGGCTGCAAGTGCACCACTGTATGGTTCAATTGGCATTTGAATTCCTTATACAAAGATATTGCTGGCCATAGTGGTACTGAAATTGCATACAGGAGATCTGGTACAATATACAAGTTGCTATGCAGTGCAAAAGATAAGATAGATGAAAGCAGGGTCCCAGGAGTGTACAGTATACTGGTAAGGGATAATAGATTCCAAAGGGAATTGGTGTATATTGGCTCAACTAAACAATCAATATGGAAAAGGGTACGTGAGCATGAATATGACATTAAAAACAACAGGCATACCACCTCCTCGTCCACGTATGCCACTGACCTGAAAGTGCATGTGGACCTCCAGAACACTCAAGTTAATCAGGCAGGCCTAACAAGCAGACCATATTTGTAGTCTGGAGGCTTTAGAAATATATAAAGCCAGCCTGACCAGCAAGTATATTAATTTTAAAGACTGCAATACATGCATGGAGGTACCGGTATCTTTATGAAAAATTTGGGCAAGTTAGCCTATATTAATTCACTCTGCACATCTTAAAAAGGTATATATGTGACAGGATTATACAGTTACGAGTTTTGGTCATTCTACTATTTGAATTCAATTTATGTTACATGTTGTTCAAAGTTTAAAATTGGTTTTTTGAATATTATTGTTTCAACATTTCAATTTGGAATTAGTTAAAAACCCTGATGCAGGCTTTGGTGAAGGCTGAAAACATTCGTTTTTGTTAATATTTGTTACTGGTAGTTGAAGGTTTTGTTTTATGTGTTACTAACTTACATTTAAATTTCAAAAGTTCACCTACTGCTACAATACTATCTTATCTTTTGCATACCAGCTCTGCTAATGTTACACATGCTAGATTAGGTCTTCCAGACTTAGAGGGTGGGGCAGAAAGGATGGACATTTTAAAAAATCACATCTATAATTGTTACTACAAAAGATATTGGTTGGAAAATGTGAGTTCGTATTGAAATAGCATTTTACAGTATCAAGTGTGGAAAACAATATCTCCTATGTGGTGTCCATTATCAGTGATGTATTTCTGGAGGCGTTCTTGGAAGTTGGCATTCACTCTTTCCAACTTTGCTCCATGCATAATCCCCGGCATAATTCACCTGTTGCACAACAGCCAATTTGTAGGGGTGGAAATACAGGTCTAAATGCATAATATGCCTTACTGAATGATAACTGAGGCCAAGTTCAGAAGAATGCTTCCAAGCAGATCGACGAGGACTGCGCAACAAGGCTAGTCTGACGTTCTCCACATTTTCAGGGGTACATGCCATTTGTGGTGCTTTCGGCAGTCTTTTGTTCATGAGTGTACCTCGCTTATGAAGTGCTTTAACCCAACATAGGATGGTGTTATGAACAGAAACAGCTTTGTTTCTGTGGATATTGAAATGACAACGAAACTCACACTGAACTGCCATAATAGACTCCTTATTCTTGAGGAAACCATCATATGCAAAGGTGTAGTGTTCTATCATTCATAGCTCCTTGCCTTCAACTGAAAAGACAGTTCTGAGACTGCACTACTTTCATTCAATCTGCCACACATCTGTCACTCACCTGGTGGTGAGTTCTAGCCATTTCAAAAACATCAGTCTTTCTGCCCACCCTGTATTATAGATTCTATTACTTTAACAGAATTTTATATTTTAAACTTTTTAATGGTTTTATTATGTTAGATCTGTTATGTCTTCATATCCAACCAGAACTACATGCTATAGTTGTTTAAACATTCTTCCTTTTCATTTAAGCTTGTCACAAAAACTTTTTATCATGGTATATTTTCAATGGAGGGATTTGAGAATGCATTGCATCTAAAATTTTGTAAATGTAAGTAACTATGTAAAAAATGTTTATATAATTGTTGTTTTTCTTCTTTTATTTTATTAATGTATTATCTTTATTTTTATAAACTATATTATCTTTGGTTTACATTCATTTTAATATTTTGGGGATTGTTATAGGAACGGTTAGCAAGTGCTGTTAAGCAATATCAATAAAAATTGGATGAATAAAAATTTTAAAAAATTATAAATACAATTTACCTGTATGCATTAAATGTTCAAAAAATATATATTTATTTGCAGATCATGATTTTTCTAAGGAATACTTGAATTTGATTTGGTTTAGCATCAATCAGTTAATTTCCTTGCAGTTCATAAATACAAAGTGTCTGAAAAGTTACTGTGCAGTGGAAAAGGTTTAAGTAAAATTTTAATAAAAGTGATGTTTTACATTTGATATTGCAGTTTCTCCTACAGCAAATGCCAGAAATGCCTCCCACAGGTGCCAAAATCTGTGGGAGGCATTTCTGACAGTTGCAGAGACTTGGCGGGCCAGATTTCATGGGAGATTGTGATCAGCAAAGAAGTCTTTCAAAAACTGTAGTCCAAAAATGGTAATGTCTGAGTGAGCAGTGACTCCATTTATTGCAAAGTGAAAATGGGCTATATAACTTATTGGTGTTGTATGCAATACTATATCTTTAATGTCATTACTAATTCCTTATTACACAGTAACTTTTCAGATACTCTATATAAAATTAAAGATAGTTTAAAGGCTTTTGTTTTTATATTATGTTGATTTTACAGTTTTATAACTGAAAAAATCTAATTGCAGAATACAATAACTGCAATTGTCACTTCTAATATTTTCAATGGAAAAAATCTTTATTAGTATAATGATTTATATTAAATTTATTAATAATGTAAATTCAAAAAATGAATTTATGTTATGAATTATTTCAGATGGTTTGGAAATGTCTGAAACAAAAACATTACAATGCGTATTTGTTACTGGTGGTGCCGGTTACGTAGGAAGCCATACCATTTTAGAATTATTGAATTCTGGTTATGACGTTATAGCAATTGATAATTTTGTAAATGCAATTCCAGGTAAGTAAAGTAAATGATCAAATTTGTTGCATTTAAATTTATGCTATTAACAATAATCTTTTTTAAAAAGCTTTAACTCTGAATATTGGTTTTTCTGTAATATTAAAACAAAAATATTAAAGAGAAAAACATTTATGTATCTAAAATGAAAATGTTGTTTAAATATTACTCTTTTTCTTTATTATTATATTGCAAATGTCATGTTCAGCTGATACTTGTTCCAAGTGCTATGTTGGACTTAAGTCAAGGCATAGCAACCAAAACAAAACAAAAATTAAAGAAATGTCAGTGTAGTGGCCTTCTGTAATGTGATGTATACAGTCGACCCCCCTATAATTATGATTCCTATAAAACTACGAAAAAATATACGTATTTTGGAAATGTTGAGTCGGATTAATGTAGAATCGATTAATTTTATGGAAGAAAACCTTTCAATCAGCCGTAGTCCGTAAACTTGACACGTGTCAGGCTGTGATTGGAACGACTTGTAAGAAATCGGATTCCTAATAAATTGGAACGTATCTATATCTTATAGGGGGGTCGACTGTATGTTTCTATTTAACTGTAATGTTCTCAGGCTTTTATGTTGTGTGTGTGTGTGTGTGTGTGTGGTATGACACCTGTAGAGGAGAGAACAACAGATACAATAATCACTTTATTCATTTTCCACAGATGCCTTATTTCCTGGGGAGTTCTGTGTACTTGCTGATTTTTTTAGTGCATTTTGTACATTGTGAGTGTTTGGAATGGATATGTTTATAATGTATGTGATTTTATTGTTTGTCAATGAGTGTGATGTCTGGTCTGTTGTGGTAAATTGTTTTATCTGTGATTATGACTCTGTCATAGTATATTTTGTGCATGTTGTTTTCCAATACTGTCTGTGGAATGTATTTGTAGTAGTTAGTGGATGTCTAATAATTTGTGTTGTTTGCAAGCTCTTGGTGTATTATATTTGCTACTTGATTATATCTATGTAAATAATCTGTCTGTGCCAAGAGCTTGCAACCAGAAGTGATATGTTATATATTTTCTGGTATGATGTGACATTTTCTGCATGTGTCATTTGTGAGTGTTGTAATTCAAACATGGCGCGCCATGTTTGAATTAAATCCCAATGATTAAAACGCGCATTGAAGATATTTTAAATTACAGAGGATATTTATGTCATGATCTGCGTGAAATCAATTATTTATTTATTCAGATATGTTTTAAATTTTACATATTTTTAATTTTAACGCATCATATTCAAATTACATTGTTAAATGGAACTTTCAAAAACATTCTATTCTACTAGCCATTAGTTCAATATCATTAATACCTGATGATGTCTATTACATATAGACGAAAACGTTCGTAAAAAGAATTTTTCTACTGGATTATGAACTTTATATGGTTTATTTGGTGAGTCGAATATAATTAAAATTAAATAACCAGTTTTTGAAATACAGTGTGTTGTGTATCTTTGAATATGTGTTTTCTGTAGTTTTTAGTAATATGACCCAATCCTGTATGGCAATTATGAACTGTTCCATCTCCCCAAAGAGGCATCCCCAAGCTAACCAGCTGTTTGATACAGTTTTGTCAACAAAACCCTGGTCCAGGTAATAGGGATGCCTGCCATGGAATGCCTTTTGAGTCCACAATTGCTTAATGTTGTCTATGCTTTTTTATATGTTGTGAGTGTAAGTTTAATGGTGTTATTTGAGTCTGCTAGAGTTACTGCTTTATGTAACTGATGCTTCTTGTTTTTTTTTTTTGGAAAACTCTCACAGTATTTTTTTTTGTTTGTTTCTAGTGAAGATTTACTATGTCAGTTGGGCCACATCTGCCATCTTTACATGAAAGGATTAACCTTTCTATAGCAGATTTAGGATGATTTGTAAATTCGGGGATCAATTAAAATTGTTTAAAAAGATATATTTATATGTATAAATTTAAAAAACTTTTAAAAGAAAAGTCACTTTAAAATAATGAATATAATAAAAATTACTCTGATCTTTTCAATGATCCTTTTTTTTGTTGAGATATGCTTACACCATATGAATTTCAAACTGTATCAATTAACAGTTTTTCTTTAGTGGTAGAAATACACAATAATAACATGAACTCTTTAATATACAAAAGTACCAAGGTACTAGGATGATGATGTTTATGCTTAGTAAGTATTCTTGTTTTTCTTTGGAGTTGCTCAAGATCTGTGTGAGTCCAATGTAATAAGTGACCAAAAGAATAAATGAGTACTGGAATGATATATGTGTTTATTGCTTTAACTATGTGTTTTGCATTTAACTGTGTTCTGAGAATAGCATTTAACCTACTTTGATATTCTTTAATTTGTTTATTTGTCTATGTTCTGTTAGTATAAAGAACACTTCACACCTGGTGCTGAACAAATTCATATCCAAACCAGTGTTGGAAAAAATACACTTCACAAATGTTTTTGGGCTCCTCTGGAGTCCTGCTTCAGGTGACTGTTCCCCTTTCTTAGACAGAACACCAATTTAAAATAAAATAAAAATTCAAATGTTTCAAAACAAATAAAATGCTTTTCTGTAGTCTATATATGCAATGTGTAAGTTTGTGTTGTTTGTATGCTTGTCATAAAATGACTGAATCTATAATCATCCCCTGTGATTTCTTTGGCAATCTTTTTGTTCTGTAAGAATGTTGTGTTTTTCAACTTGTTCATATATTTTATTTTCAATACAGGATGTCAATAATTTGTAGTGTTGGAAGACATGTAATTGGTCTGTATTTTGTAGGGTCTGTGGTATTCTTTTTAGGTTTCATGTAGGTGACGCATTGAGTAAGAAATTTATGAGCATAAAATGATTTTGTGCTCATGATTAGTTTTATGATTGTTGATACTTTTGGGATTGTTTTGGCATAATTTTCTCTTTCTGGAAGTTGGAAGTTTTGTGCTTTATAGTGTTCTCTGGGAGGACAAGCTGCAGACAGTAAGATTGCTTTTGAATTTTGTCTTCCTGGTCAGGAGCATGAAATATCCTAAACTAAACAAAAATAAGTCAGGTTTTCTCTTACAACTCCCATTAATTATACAGTAAATATTAATGAAATAAACTTATTGATAAAAATTTATTTATTAATCTGTCTATGAATAATTCATTTTGATTCAATCTTTGAAAATTTGCTTAGAGCTTTTTTGAATAACATATTTTAATTTTTTATCAATTTTGAGATTTATTTATATAAAATTGCAATGTCAGAAATATGTCTAAATAACAGAGCAATAAATAAAACTTTTGTTAATTAAACTTTCTTATACTAAATGTTGTCAACTTAAAATAAAAGTAGCCTGATAAAAACATGATTTTTAACAATATTAGTGTTAAAATTAAACATTAAAATGAGTAAATTAAGCTGAAGCAGATTTATAAACAGGTGTTTTTGATAAAATTAATTTTGTCAAAAAGTATCAATAAAACAATGAAATAACACATTTTGAAAAAAAAAATAACTTTAAAAAATAGCTTATATTAGATGACTTACAAAATATTAGAATGAAATTAAAACAGAAAACTATGCTATGAAAATTAAATATAACTTTGTTTAAATAATATAAACAATAAATTGTTTCTTTTGAATTTTATGGTTTGGGATTAGTTTTTGGTTAAAAAATATAGTTATTGTTAAAACAGCTTTCCCTTTCTCATAGAAAATAGGTTAACAAAACATTAACTATTTTTGCTATCTTCCATACTTTTCAACTTTAAAATTTAACTTAAATGATGATTTAGTTGATTTAATTAAAAATATTGTTTATTTGTGTTCAGAATTAGTTTGTATATGTATTGAACTTTGAATTCATTCAACGTATTTCAAAGAGAAATATTTATGTAATCTGATCTTTTTATATTTTCTGTACTATAAAATGAAATTTTATCTTTCCTGAATAAAAGAACTTTTTGTTACTCTCTTGTATTTTATTTATATCTTTAAATAATTGAATATCTAAGCTATCCAATGTCTCTTTAAATGATGATAATTCTTTCATTATAAAATGACATAGTTAAAAGTATAACAATATTGTTAAATAATTTTTTTCATAGGACAGGATGGAATGCCGGAAAGTTTATCCAGAGTACAAAAATTGGCCAAAAAATCACTAACCTTTTATAAAGCAGATCTACAAGACAAACTAACCATTAGAGAAATTTTTTCTAAAGTAAGTATTAAATATTTAATTAAGGAACTTGTTTTATTTCATTGATGATAATATATATTAATATATAAATTACCATTTTACTATCAATAAATTTCTATTAAATACATTAACATAATGTATTGCAGTAAAAATTTACATATATTGTAGAACACTTATAAAATGGCTTCATTTCACATTTTCTATCAAAAGAATATGAAAAGATTATGTAGAATATGCAAACTATCAGACATGTTGGTTAGCAAGAATCTATATTATTTAAACTTGTAGTAAAATATTTTAGTTCTTAAAATCATATATTCAAATAAAAACAAAATAAAATCTTTACATTATAAATAGCATGCATTTATTAATATGCAATAATTGTAATTAGTAAAATTATTTTTTAATATTTTTAAAACAGTAGAAGCTGATTAAATGATGAATTCAAAAATACTTCTTATAGCTAGATAATAATAATGATTACTTGTAAATGATATGACTCAAGAAAAAAACAAATTCAGATTATATCTTTATTATAAGTTTTTACTGAAGATACTTCGATTATAGTTTATATTCATTTTTAAGAAATTAAATAATAAGTTATAATTAGCATAATCTTGCTGCAAATGAATTTACAACAGGATTATAAATTTATCATTATTTAAGTGTTTTAAAAAAATTACTAACAAATGACTATTTTGTCAATTAAAAAATTGTTCCCTGTTAACAAACTAATTTTGAGGATAGGAAAAAGTCTATTGCCATTTTCATTTTTTAATGCTTTATAATGTAATTTATTCTCGATCATATATTTAATCAAGAAACTGCAAGAAGACACTTGTAAAAAATACTGCATATTACAGGTTAAAAAATCTGAAAAAATTATGTAATAATGACTGCTTTTGTTTGCACTTAACATCTCACTTTTATCTAAATTCTTTATATATTATAGGTATAGAACTATAAATGGTTAACTCTAAATTTTGCAGTTTTTCAGTAAGAGTATTCTTATTATATTCAACACCTTCTATTTATGACCACAAGTAAATGTATAAAATTCCAAATGGTTACATAACCTAACTTATTTTTGGTGGGCGATTGTACACCAAAACTTTGCAAAACTTTAGCCCAATTTTTAAATATCATTTTTTCTGAAAATTATGGTTTAGAAAATTATGACAGTAGCTGCTTAAATTAAGGGTTCTATTCCCATGATATAGAAATAGAACTTTTTAGGCAGTATAAACATTTTAGATTTTTATGTGCCAGTTTATATATTAATTTGGTATGTTTATAATAAACAGAAGAAATAACTTTTCAATTAAAAGCAATACAAATTTTTTCTTGTAATTTACATTTCTCATTTAAATATTTTAAAATCTTATTTTAGAATTGAAATTCTGAAAATGTAGGTAAAACTTTTTATGAGTGGTTTTAATTCAAAAAATAAGGGAATCAACTGGTGGCCAGTTTCATCTGTTTTTGAATATGCGGTTAACATGCTAGCACCACTTTCAAATGACTCATTAAAATAATTAATCTTTCATTAGAAACCTATTTTTCCAACATTCTGTAATTGAATTAATTAATGAGCCATTTATTAATAGCTTCTCTCTTATGTTAGTATATGTAATTGATTCTCTAATAATTTGTCATGGCTTTTTGACATCAAACATCTTTTGTAGTTTGTGGCTGATCCAAAATAAAAATGAATAAGAACATTTTAATTATATAAATGTAGAGAATGCTTTTGTCAATTTAATCCACAAGTATAAAAGTTTAATTGAAAATTATACAAACTGCTAATGTTACAATTGAATGAAAAGAAAAATATGGAGAACCGTTGCACTTGATTTTAATACAAATGCATGTGTTACTAAAAGATTAGAAAAGTAGCTGCCATCCAAGGTTTAAAATTGTTCTATCTAATAATAATTAGTTTTTTTTGCAGTTCTATATTTTCTACATTTTTGAAATGAAATATGTATTAAACTCATCATAGTCTATTATCTTTGACTTCAACTTATCAAGTTATTAAAAAACTTTAATGCTCCAAAATTGGATCCTTAAAGTATTGATCATTTTAATACATTAGCATTAATAATGTTTGATAAAACAGTTGAAAATGTGTTGGTTAAGTTTTAATGAAGATTGAAACTAATGACAGACTAGTTTATTTGGAGCAAATATATAGAAGACACTATAAATTTAAACAATATATATGCTTTAATGAATTATAAATTATATTAAGTGTAAGATTTAATGTGATTTATATTATTCTCTATTAAAACATATATTGTTCTATAGTTATTTGAAATAAACTATGTACAATATATATATAAACATTGAAAATAAATGAGTGAAATTGTACATAAACATGTAACTTAATTCTGTAACTGTAACTGGATGTATTTTAATTGTACCAAATGTAATAGTTAGATAAAAGACAGCTTGCTTACAGTTTATATAATTCTTTTAATTTAATATTTTTGAAGTTATTCAGTTTTGATTAATTATGAGTCAGTTATTAAAATTTATAATTTTATTATAGTTAACACAGATTTTGTAATTGTCTCATTTTCAAAAAATAATAATGTATTGTTGTTGAAATTAATATTTTTTAAGAATTGTTTTATTAATAATGTATTTGCAATAAATTTATTAATTTATCTAATACTTTTAGCATAAAGTAGATTGTGTAATTCATTTTGCTGCCTTAAAAGCCGTTGGAGAATCATGTCGTATTCCACTCGACTATTATAGAAACAATGTAGGAGGTTCTGTCACACTTTTGGAGGTAATTGTTTGTGCATTGACTTTGAATTTGAAATGATAAATTTTTTTAGTTTATATTATGTCATTGTTTAAAAACATTATTAAATAAACACATTATATGTCAGAATATTTTTTATTAGAAACAGACATACAGTGGAAAAAACTTCAATTTCTGAAACAAATAATGCTCACTTAACAAGCATAATTCATTTCAGAATCTTACTCGTAATGCAAAACACTTGTTAAGCAAAACAGTTTTTCCTATAGAAATTAATGTAAAATATAATAATGCATTCCATGCCAAAAAAATACTCAAATATTTTATGTATAACATTTATTCAAAGAAAATTACACAATATACATTGTTAAGAAGTGTGAATCATCATCAACTTTTCTTCTAGCACAGAATGAACCAATCTGGAATGCAAATTTGATTTGCAGAAAACAAAAAAATCACAGATATGTCTGATAAACACTCCAAATGATATGCCAAATTCTTAGGCTATGTAAAGACTATAATTAAATATTAGATGTTAATTAATTTGACTAGAGATAGGCAGTTACGCTGCCATCTTGTATTAAATTTAATAATTATAAATAATTCATTTTTAATTTAGACATTTTTAAAATTTAATTTGGAATTGGTCATTAAATTTAGTACGAGATGGCGTGTTTATTTGTATAATAGGCTGTGATTGTTGATGATTATATGTAATATGTCTGAACACAAGTTTGAAAAAATATGTGATCACGAGTGACACTAAGATGCTAGCGGAATGAGTGCTAAACACAGACTAGTGGAGCATGTACACAATCCGGGATTTCTCCTCTCCTTGTCACTCATTAAGCAAGTCAAATTTTTTACAATTGTTTTGCTCATTATGCAAGATGCTCGTTAAGCAAGGTTTCACTGTATTTTTTTACATCTTTTTCATAAATTTAAGTGTAAAGAAATAAATAAGACCATTACAAAACATAAGATAAATGTTTTCTTAACCAAAACTCATTTTCAGATCATTCATCAAAAGTTTTTAACAGTTTTTAAAAAGTTGAATAAATTTAGCATTTTAATGTTTTGAAACAAAGAATTACCAAAAATTGAATATCAAACTCAGCTTCTTTTAAAACATTTAATAAAACATTTAACACCTTATAATGCTGAGAAATATTTATTAAAACACAAACATTTTCAGCCTAATGGAATAGGCCATCATCAGGTGACAGGCTATCGAACAACTTTTAAAAATTGCGTTCTACAAAGAATTACTTGAACATTTTAATATTTAACTAATTTTTTTTTTTAAATACTTTTTGGTCATTGTCCAAAATGTAAGAATATTGAATTCATTTAATTTTTAAAAATCAATTTATTCTCTTTGATAAGTGACTTGAAGATGAGATTTTGGAGTCATCATATAGTTTTCAATGGGTTTTTTTTTTTGTAATATGTATTTTTAGTTTTAAATTTTCTGTTTAATTTGTATCAACAGATGATAAATATCACACAGTAGTTAAAAACATTTTATATGAAGAAAATTACATCAGATATTAGATAGAAAATCTGTTAGACAGAATTAAAATTTATCTAATTCTCTCTAATTTATTAGTAATTAAAAATATTTATTTAAAATCTAGTGTGTTTCCATGACAAATAGGAACAAATATATAACATCTCACTGTATAATGTAAATAATCACCATATACCTTTCTTACTTTTTTACTAATCAATTTAATTTTAAAAAAAAAATTGAAAAAACAAGCATTTTTGGTCTTTTTTAGGAATCTACTTCAGATTATTAAACCATTTGAATATCAATAAAGCTTTTGCATTTTTTTTTTTTTGGTTTGTTTTTTTTAATGTTAAATTGACTACTGGAAAAGTAAGAAAGGTGTGTGCTGATTAGTTGTATGCTGTTCCAGCTTTTATGTGATATATTTAAATAACATAAAAAATTCCACATTTTACTTATTAATCACAAAAATATTAATTTATATTACTAAGAAAAAAATCAAATATATAGATCTGTCTAATTCTTATTTATAGCAGATCTGGAGAACTTATTTTCAGACTGTTCTTGTAATAAGGTTGTATATGATTTGTGAATTATCTTCTTAAAGTATAAAATGCTATTTGTAGTGTGTATTTATAAGAATCAGTATCACATTAATTTAAGATTTTATGAATAGTTTTTACTTTATTATATATGTTTGTACGTATTTATTTTACTTTTAATTAAATAATGTTAATCTTTCAGGTTATGAGAGAATTTGGTGTGAAAAGAATTATATTTTCAAGTTCTGCCACAGTATATGGTATTCCAAAGTATCTGCCAATTGATGAAAATCATCCCGTTGGATTAACATGCACAAATCCATATGGAAGAACTAAATATTTTATTGAAGAAATAATGAAAGATGTTACAAAATCTGAAAAAGTAAATTTATCACTTCTTAAAGTATATTAGTTATTATTTAAAATTTTAATTATTTCTTACCACTAAAAGTCAGTAAGTTTATAAATAAATGCGCTATTTTATGATAAATATATTTTACAAGTTTTATTGAATAATGAATGTAATGTTTAATTTATTAGCTCCATATCTTTGGAAGACCCTGCATATCAAAAAATATGCTTCAAAAACCCTATTTCTTTTTATTTGATTCAAACTTTTCAGAATTTTATTTTTAAAATTGAATTTTTTTTTCACTTCAGTTTTAAACAAACCAAAAATTTGAGAATGAAAAATATGAATAGTAGCATATTTTCCTAACTGTGCTAACTCTAGAAATTTATGAGAATTTAGACACATTTTTATTTTAAGATTTAATTTAAAGTTTTTAATAATATGTTATTATTTAATAGGATCTTTGTTATAGTAAAAATTTATTTTATCTAAACCAAATATGAATAGTAGTTAATAAATGAATAAAATCCATTTTTTAAACTGGAAAAATAGTATTTTGAAAATAATGTCTACATTATTAAATTGAAAGCAAGATTTGGATAAAATGTTAAGAAAAAAGACCTAGAAAGAACAACACAACCAAAAATTTCTTCTCGTAACACCTTAAGACGCCCACAATTATCCCAAATATGCCAGACACCACAGTCTCCTCTTCCATGCAAAATTTACACAATTTTCTAGAGTAATTATTTAAAGAATATAGCAAATTACACCTTGCCTATGAAAAAGAAAATATTAGTCTTGATGACAATACTGGCAGATGCTCCCCTATTCAGATTTATTTAAAATTAATTTTTTGTTTTCATAAAATTTTTTTTATTCCAATATTTAGTTTAAATAATTTAATATATTTTTAGACTATGAATATAAAATACATTTCTCTCTTAATTAAACCTGTGTTTTTTTCTTGATGATTTTTTGGTAGTAACTGTTATAAATGAGAATTTTGAATAGGAATGTAAAAAACTTCAATGTAAAATTAAAAAAACTACATTCAGATGGCTAATTTATATGCCTATAAACCATTCTGTACGGTTGTATTATTTTTGAATCTATGCATAAATTTAATATTACAAATTAGAATTTCAAGTATCTTTGCATATCAAATATTGTGACTATTAGAGTATAAATAAATTATTGACATTCTATATATGAGAACTAATTTTTTTTGAATGTTTCTATTTTTTCTGTTTCTTTCTTCTCCTGTAGTTAGGTAAAACAGTAAATAACTTTTATATTTACTTAATTCACAATGAATGAAGTTAATTACAAAATTTAATTACTTATTAACTGAAACATAAAAACTGTAAGAACTGACAATGAAGTCTACTTGCATCATTCCAAATTGAAATTAAAAATTTTACATCATTTTGACATTTTAGACTAAAAATAACTCTTTACAAGATTGATATATTAAATTTTTTATCTTTCTACATTCTTTAACTCTTTTATCAGCACAAACAAGAATTCTCCATGCTTGCTACTTTTGGTAATACTGGCTCCCTAAAGAATTTCTTGTAACTGATAACTGAGATGATTAACTTATCTGGCAAGACTTGCCACAGAGCCATGCTGAGCAAGAACCAAACCTGTCTTTGAAAAGATTAAAGGTTGTTATACATTCGGAGAAAATTCATTTCAATGCTACTATATAATGATATTTTGTCAATTGTAGGCAAATTATGTTTTATTTACAACTTTATTAGAACAAAATGCATTATGTTGTATATGCTTGAATAAAAAAATTTCCGGAATCTTTATTTCACTTGAAAACTTTTGTTTATAGTAAATGTCAATTATTTTTCTATGATAATATTCCTTTAAATAAATTTGTTTCATGATTTTCAATTATTCTGTCTCATATGAATTGATTTCACTCAATATGGAATTTATCATAATAAACTTTATGTAACTCAGATAGTTTCTTAATGTAATACTTCAGTTCTTTTGCTAAAAAAAAACTATTGTTGTTGTTTTCTCCTCTGTTTTAAAAAACTTTGTTTTTATTATAACTTCTTAAATTAAAATTAAAGCTTACAAAGTTTTCATTAGTTTACAAGTAATTTAATAATAGTAATTTAAAATGGAGTAATTTAATAAGTTTTATTAAATTACTCCATTATATTCTCTTAAAATAAGACATTTTTCCATTATAATAGCTTTCCACTTTTCTACCTGCACATAAGATTATATTACAGATTACACATTATATTACAGATTATACAGTATAGGCTCTTCACTTAAACATATGTCTAGGGGCTAAAAGAGCCCTTTCCAGCATTCACATGTGTGTTTGTGTGTGGAGGGTGCATGCTTGTTCCAGCATGAAAATATCCAAAGAGAATCAATTTAAGATGATTTAACATAGCATACGAATAATCACTGGCTGTAAAGGATAAATTAACATTGCAGAAATTTGATTAAAAAAAAATGAGCTTTATCCTTGAGGTCATCCAAGAGCTTTTGACCCCATAGGAAAAGATCCAGAGGGGTCAAGTCTGGGGAATGTGGTGGCTGTGGAATGGGGCCATGTTGTCCAATCCAGTCTGCTGTGTGTGCTACTGATGCGTGTCTGTCTGGGAATGAAGTGATACACCATTATGCTGACACAAAACTGCTGTAGTTGCACTAGTGGTAAGGTATTGAGTCATTTATCCACCATAATGTTTAGGACGTTCAGATATCTGTTACTATTCAGGGTACCATCAATGAATACAAAACAAAGAAGCTGCTCACCTCAAATTCCACACTAGATGTTTAGAGTAAAAGACACTATTTTACCTACGTTGTACATGTCATGGAGCACACACTGCCCATTGGTGCATATTGTGACAGTTATACATTCAGTTCTGGAAAAATTCTCATCATTACATAAAATGTGTTGAAGTGCAAGATGCACATTTTCTAGTATTGTACAAGTGTATACAACATGCATACATTTATACAATATTGGAAATATTTCTTTTATCTCTGGATAGATATGTAAGTGGCCACTGTCTATTTTATTACATGATATTGCAATAAAACAGTGTCTAAAGCAAAGAGGGTTATAGGTTATATATTATTATTCTAAAAAGATGTAATTTCAGTATATAAAGAACATCTGATGGGCGAGATATAAGTTGAGCTCTACTTCCGCCAGAGACTTACGTTTAAGTTTTATGAGCTTCGAAAGTAGCGACCTTTCCATACTCCGTAAGGCATCACGAAGACATGCTGGGAAGGCTTTCCGATTGATAGAAATACACTTTGGAGTTACATCATGCCCCCTGCACTTGAGCAGGAACACTAGCTGGGTGTGCACCTTGTACCATTGCTTTTTACAATTCAGCATATCAAAAAAGGATATTCGTTGTCCAGAATTCATCTTGGAAAATGTCTATAATTTGATAATGGACAGCACGCTAATCGTTTATTACAAAAACTTTTAACATATAAGCGTTAAATTAGACACCTATGTCACTAAATTGACGAGCGCTTTCGACGATATACACTTTCGTCTTCTTCAGGTCATTAGAACCTTTTTTGAATACAAAATTTTTAAAAACATTCCAATCTTAAATAGCAAATTTGGAATGATAGCAACGGTAGAATATAAACAGATATTTAAATAAAAATATGCGCGGTAGAATATAAACAGATATTTAAATAAAAATATGCGCGGTAGAATATAAACAGATATTTAAATAAAAATATGCGCGGTAGAATATAAACAGATATTTAAATAAAAATATGCGCGGTAGAATATAAACAGATATTTAAATAAAAATATGCGCGGTAGAATATAAACAGATATTTAAATAAAAATATGCGCGGTAGAATATAAACAGATATTTAAATAAAAATATGCGCGGTAGAATATAAACAGATATTTAAATAAAAATATGCGCGGTAGAATATAAACAGATATTTAAATAAAAATATGCGCGGTAGAATATAAACAGATATTTAAATAAAAATATGCGCGGTAGAATATAAACAGATATTTAAATAAAAATATGCGCGGTAGAATATAAACAGATATTTAAATAAAAATATGCGCGGTAGAATATAAACAGATATTTAAATAAAAATATGCGCGGTAGAATATAAACAGATATTTAAATAAAAATATGCGCGGTAGAATATAAACAGATATTTAAATAAAAATATGCGCGGTAGAATATAAACAGATATTTAAATAAAAATATGCGCGGTAGAATATAAACAGATATTTAAATAAAAATATGCGCGGTAGAATATAAACAGATATTTAAATAAAAATATGCGCGGTAGAATATAAACAGATATTTAAATAAAAATATGCGCGGTAGAATATAAACAGATATTTAAATAAAAATATGCGCGGTAGAATATAAACAGATATTTAAATAAAAATATGCGCGGTAGAATATAAACAGATATTTAAATAAAAA